CAGGAGGATCACCATGAGCAATCTACCAGGCCAGCCTGAATACACAGTGAGACCTTGTTTTTAAAAATACCCCAGGGCCAGGGATATAGCTCAGTGACACAGCACCTGGCAAGCGCAAGGTCCCAAGTTTGATTCCCGGTACAAAAATAAAACAAAACACAACTCAGAATAACAAGTTTGTTAGTAGTTCTTTCAAATATGAAAAAAATAAAAATAAAACCACGAAAAAGCACAACTGCTTTTCCTCTGGAAAACAACAAGCAGCATGCAGCAGATGAGCTATGTACAGAGCCAGGCGTGGTAGCACACACCTGTAATCCCAGCACTAGAGAGGCTGAGGCAGGAGGATCACTGTGAGTTTGAGACCAGCCTGGGCTACAAAGTGAGCTCAAGGCCAGGCTGAACTGTATAGTGAGACCCTGTCTCAAAACAAAACCAAAAAAAAAAAAAAAAATGAGAGCTATGTATGGCTGCTTTAACAATATCAGTGCAAGAATCAGCACCTTGACAGGGCAAATACCATCTTATAATTGCAGTTATAATAGCTTTAACTTCAACGTCAAAGGCTCTTAGGGAACCCCTGGGATCCGCCTTAAGGAACAAGTTATTTTCCACAGAATATGCTCCTGAAAATCAAGACAGAATGATCATTAAGGCCCCCAAATACATCTGGATGGAAGGTCTGCCAGTTAGGCGTGTGCAAAGTCCTGAGACACTGTGGGAAAATGGTCAGCTGGGACACCCGTGAGAAAATTCACTCTCAGAAACAACTATCAGAACCCTCCAAAGAACTTGGAAAAAAAAAAAAAAGAACTCTCCATTTTCCTATTCCAGTATGTGCAGAAATGCATCAAGAAAGAAATTCAAATGAAGAAACCTATTTCTTAAGGGTCAGCATACATAGGAAGCTAAATACACATTATTATTGACTTAATGCTAATTTTAAAAAAAGTGCACTAGTTTTGGTATCCACCCAGGGAAATTGAGTCACCGAATTAACACAAGAAACACATAATATGCCACTAGAGAAGCCACCCGTGTCATCGCCACACTAGGACTCTCTTAGGTTCCAATTACATCTTGTCTTTCTTTTTTTGAGACAAGGTCTCACTATACAGTTCTGGCCCTGAGCTCACTTTGTAGCCCAGGCTGGTCTCAAACCCTCAAGGATCCTCCTGCCTCAGCCTCCCTAGTGCTGGGATTACGGGAGTGTGCCACCACGCCTGGCTCCAATTACCTTTGTCACTGAAGTGGGACAAAAGAAAGGCAGAACCCGTGGGCAGGGCCAGTGTGACGTGCCCAGATGTGTCTCCGGGCACAGGAGCCAAGAATGGGAGGGGTGACAGCGACCGGTCCACAACAAACGGCGCCCACAAGCCCCTCCGTCCTGTTGTCTAGTACGTCCTGAGGTGGAGGAGTCCCTAGGAATGTCACAGTGTTTGTAGGCGGGCAGCAAAGGCGCCATCCACACCGGAATTCCTGGGGGAGCCTGTTAGGCGCGGGGCCGACTCTCGGATCCACTCCCAACCTTCCCAACCCTAATCTCAGCGAATCCGTCTTGAAGACACCTGCTAGGAGGCTTCCACGCGCCTGGGCTGGGAAGCCTAGCCCATTTCTGGGTTTGTAAAGTAGAAGTGACAAACGCAGTGTTTTCCTGTGTCAGAAGTACCGGTGTAGTGCAGGGCGTGGTAGCGAACTTCTGTAATCCCAGCGCTCGGGAGGCTGAGGTGATCACTGCGAGTTCGAGGCCAGCGTGGGCTACAAAGTGAGCTCAAGGCCAGCCTGAGTTGCATAGTGAGACCCTGTCTCAGAAAGACAAAAATAAAAATAAATAAATCAAATACGGGAAATGCTCTTTAAAACTGCAAATACACCAGGCACGGTGACAGAGACACCTGTAATTCCGGCACTTGGAAGGCTGAGGCAGTAGAATCACCACGAGTTTGAAGCCAGCCTGGACTGCACAGTGAGTTTAGGGTCGGCCTGAACTATATAGTGAGATGTTGTCTTAAAAACAATCAACAACAACAACAAAACAAAAAAACCAAGAAGTGCGATAGGAATGGGTTATAATCACTGAAACTTCTACCACCTACAGTTTCTACCAACCTTTCTTCTGAATGAAAAGAAAGCAATCACAAATATTATAGCTGTTTTCTAAAATCCTTCTCCTGAAGACTCAGATAACTACCATGCTCAGGGCACAGAGGGTTCCGGTTAGTATTTAGCTGAACATTTTGAAAAGCCTGAAACACATTACTACCCTTTCTCTTCTTGGTAAGTGCACGTTTTTTCGGTGCTGCTGAAGGATTTTCACGTCAGGCCAGCGTTCTGAGCATCTGCTCTTACTGCACAAGGCATGTGCTCAGAAAAGTCCTCTGTTCTGCTCTGACCTGAGCCGCTGGAAGGTTTCTAGTCTATTTTTTGTTGTATGAAAACTTCATGCTTGACGGAGGGAAGTTTATTTCAACTGAAAGCAGATGCCTAATTACAAGTTATGTTCCAAGGCTTATTTGTTTCTAAATTGTCTGTAACTTGAAATACCTTTCTCTCTAGCCAAAAGAAAAAAAGTTTCTAAACATAATTAAGTTCTCCCTGGTTGATCCAAAAAGTCTGTAACACTGATGAAATACATTTGCTTACTTTAAAAACTGCACAAAGAGCCAGGGTGGTGGTGGCACACGCTTGTAATCCCTGCACTGGGGAGGCTGAGGCAGGAGGATTGTTGCAAGTTCAAGACCAGCCTGGGCTACAAAGTGAGCTCAAAGAGAGCCTGAACTACATAGGGAGACCATGTCTCAAAAAAGACATAAAATAATAGTAATTCCAAATCTAACTAAGGGCAGAGAGTTACCTGAATACTCATGCTGTATTCTCCAGAAAAAATAACGGATTACAAGAGAAAGGAAAGGAAGTTAAGCAAATTGACCTTCACATCCAAATCTGGTAAACAAGGCCCACTTCAGCCTCGTGAAAACAACTCTGGTGGCAAGATAAGGCAGTCTTGAAAGACCACCGTCCATGCTCAAATCCTCTGGCAGATACCCAGACCCAGCTTCTTAGGTAAACACATGGTCACAGACACCAAAAAGTAATGCTTTACAAGAACTAGAAAAATGCACTGCATTATAGGTGACAGTGACCAGTCCCTTGAAAACTATGCCAAGGATGCTGGGTCTGGTGGCACAAGCCTGGAATCCCAGCACCTTGAGAAGCTGAGGCAGGGGGATCTCAAGTTCAAACCCAGCCTGGGCAACTGAGTAATTTAGTGAGGCTGTCTTAAAATAAAAAATGAAAACCTACGAGTGTAGCTCATTGGGAAGATCCGGGGTTCAATCCCCAGTATCACAAACAAAAAAGGAAGAAAGAAAGGAAGAGAGAGGGAAAGAAAAATTTGCTAGACTCAAACTAAGTAAGTTCTCAGTAACAGCGACACAGGATACAAAAAATACCCTGAGATGCCACCTCAAGTGGCTTGAGACATTTTGTCTTTAAAACTTAGGCTTATTTTTAAACACTAAGGATGTGACACCATCCCTCAAGTCTATGAATTCTGCCTTGTCAAAGCCCTGCAAGTCTCCAGAAACCTGAAGTACAGGGAAAAGGAGACGATCACAAGAGAGAGACTGCAGGCATCAGGAGATATTTTCCGCCAGAGCAGCCTACTACTGCAGCCCGTGCACGCCCGTTCCGGGTGCACCCCAGGGGCGCAGCCCTGGCGATGATCACAGCTTCTTTTGTTGTGAGTGTCCTTCCCACCCCAGCGCCTCGTCCTTGCGGTCCCGGTCATCTTCCTGCGCAGTGTCAGAGGGGAAAAACTGAGCTTGGGAGGACAGTGCAAGGTCCCGGGAACTAAGAAAAGCCAGGAAACCAGGCGTGCCAGCCCCGGCCACCCCTGCCCACGGCAGAGCCACAGCGAGAACCCCGGCTCCTGAGCGTGGAGGGGCAGCAGGGGCAGCAGGGGCAGCAGGGAGCTCAGCAGCCCACGCGGCGCAGCGGTGCCTGGGTGGGTGAGAATCACAGACGCCCTCGAGGCCACCGTGAGCCATGGAATTTCTGAGCATCTGCGAGGAAATGCCACACCAGAGCCAGCCGAGACAGTGTTTGCTAACAGTCCTGAAAAACTGAAAGACTCTGTGAAATCATTTTCCACTGCAGTCAGCCCGTCTGGGTCATCCCTACCGCAGCGCGCCCAGACCACCGTCACCCGGGTCCAATGTCACTGCCCCTTTCGGAGCCTGACCACCTGCTTTTCGCGGTCTAGGTTGTTTATGTCCGTTTCTATTTTTATTAGAGCAAGGACCTAATGGTCATACTCCTCGTGGGGAGCTGGTGTGAGCACCGGACACATCTTCGTTCTTTTTCTCATCCCCTTCCTCCCCTCCCTCCCGCTAACTCTTGGTCCCTTCCCTTTGCAAAAGCTCTGTCTCCGCTTCCTGTTATGTGTCTTTCCTTTTGCTCTTTACACTATTAATATTTTGGGTTTCTCGTATAAAAGAAACCACATGATATGGAAGCTTGTGTGTCTGATTTTGTTCACTTAATATTATGTCCTCAAGGTGCACCCATATTCCTACAAACTACTCAAGTTTATCCTTCTTTATGGCACAGTAGTACTCCATTGTGTATCAACACATTTCCTGTACCCATTCATCTGCTGGTGATCATACAGGCTGTTTCCAAAATATAGCTATTATGAATCTACTTTCAAGTGGGTCATTGTTCTCCCGCTGTACTCTCCAGAGATCGGGGGGGAGGGTTTCTAAAGACCTTTTTTTTTTGTTTGTTTGCTTGTTTTTTTCTGAGACAGTCTGGCCATGCAGTGCGGGCTGGCCTTGAACTCACTAAGTAGTCCAGACTGGCCTCCAACTTGCAGCGATCCTCCCCCGCCTCAGCCTCCCGAGTGCTGGGACGCCCGGCTCCTAACGACCCCTTCGGGCACTTTTCTGCAGAAGCAGCGGTCAGCCGCGCGCGACGGAGAGCCCGCCGCAGGGACCTACCAGCGACAGCACTTTGTAGGTGTTGGGGTCCTTGGCCGTGCGCGCGCGCTCCGCCTTCT